GCTCTTCACTTTTAGATTAATCTGCCAAAATGAGATGCTAAGGATTTGCATACAGATTTGACTACACAAAAATAGATCTGGAATTAATAACAGTCTCTATATGTTTTAATTTCTTCTAGACTGGAGTACCCTTGCCTCCAGCAGTATTCTTGGCTTTGAAAGTCATCAAGCTGATTTGTCTGCTCTTAGGTTATGATGCCACATGCTGCTACACTGTCCCCTGCAATCAAAGCGCTCAGAGAGAGAGATTCCATGCCTTCCCCTAACAAGTATATTTTATAGATTGGCAGTTTTGATCTCCCCTCCCCAGGGGGATAATCTGCATCTTAACAGGTTTCTATAGATACATCTGTCATTAAATATGCCATCTTATATCTGCATCAATTTTCAAACTCAAGTTCCTCCTAACTTTGAAGTGCTATAGCAAAAGTTTAAAATTTTCTGCCAAAATTCAAATTTAACAAGTCTGCGATGTCCCCTTGAACTATTTTTTTAAAAAAAATACTACAGGCAGCTGGGAAAGGGCAAAAGAAGAGCAATATGTCTCTTAAAAAAAATAGGACAAGGAAAAAAAAGTTGAAATAGTACTAAAAATAATACATACTTTCTCTAAGAAAAAATGGGGTAATGCTGAAATGATTTCTTAAACTTCCTTGCAGTACTTTCTGTGAGGAAAAGAGAGGAAAGGCATGGTAACAACGACACTTGAAGTATTTAAAAATACAAACCATGCTATTAAATCTGATGTCAAGCAATAGCAGCTAATGTGATAGTTAAGGAAAGAGGAAAAAAATGTCTGGCTGGGTACATGACTGAAAATTTACAGTTTGGTCAGGGCTCGCTGGGTTTTATAAACCAAGAGCGATGATTGCACTGCTTTGACATGAGCAGCTTGCTTTGAGGACTAGAGTTTCTCGGAGGCAAGGAGCACCCTCAGGACAAGTCTATGTCTTTCTTGCTCTTACAGATGTGAGAAGACACTCAGAGGAAGCCCAGCATCCAATCCGTGGGCTTACAGTGTTTTTACACTGTGAGTCAATTTTGCTCACTCCCTTGCAGGCCGTAAACCCTGTTTTTTAAGCCATCCAAGACCCATAACTTCCCAACTCATGCAACAGTGCCCCTCTACATGGAGAAGTTCCTGGAGGAGTCAGAGATCTGCTCTGTCCAGCCCTCTCCCACACACTGGAAATATTTTGGGTTGTTATAGCCTCCCAGAGTCCACAAACTGCACTGAAAAGTACCTTCAATAAAGTCCCTCCAAAAAGAGAAGAGTGGGAAGCAGTAGATTCAACACCATTTTTCCAATCAAAATTTTATAATCCATATTTATAACGTGTCCTAGTAAGACCCCCATATGACTTGAGAAATCTAATCCAATCCAAATCCCCCAGAAAATCTCACAGCTCTCTCTGAAGTCCCCAAGTGCTAGGCTGCACGCACGAATCTGAGCTTGCTGGGAGACGTGTAAAACTACATGTTGGCAAAGAGCTCCCACGTGTATTCCTTCCAGCAAATCCAGGGAATATATAGAAACTCATAACATGTGCCCCAAAGTGCTCTGCTATTTTAAAATAGAAATCTCTCCTCTCTTATGTGTCTGTGTGTTAAACACAAGATAATCCCACTGCAATTTACTTCAACCAGCCCAGGTGCAGTGAGGACAGCTGAGCTGGAGCATATTCTCCTACCCTAAGGAGCACCTGGAAGACACCAACAGCAGCTCTGATTAACACAGTTCCACCCTGGATGCAATCCAGCTGCAAACAAGAAGGGCACAAGCCCTAGTTTATTTGTGGTTGGTTGTTTGGGGTTTTTTTCAAACCATTAAAACCTTATGTTTACATTCAATGTAAGAAGCATCAATGGCATCAAACCTATAATATGTGTGCTTGAAAGGAGTGAGATCAATTATCTTTATTCAAATGTTGAC